CTTCTCTGCCACTTTTTCTTCTTCTCAAATCATCCATGGTACACTCTCAATTTTCTCCTCCCCCCCTTTTCTTATGTCTGTTATTTATGCTGGAAACTCCTTGGATGGTAGGAGGGAATTATGGAATCAGTTAAGACGCTTGGTTCCTCCGTCGGATCAGCCTTGGCTCATTTTAGGTGATTTCAATTGTTGTAGATTAGCTAATGAGAAATAAGGGGGGAATCCTCTTCATTCAGGCCGTTTGGAAGAACTTAACCAAGTCATTTTTATTGTGGCATCCAAGATCTTGCTTTCGTGGGTCTTTTTTACACTTGGTACAATCAGTGGGTGGACCTCCCGATCCACATTAAATTAGACCGCATGTTAGTCAATTCAGCACTTTTAGATTGTTTCCAGCATGCTTATTATAAAGTGGCTCCACTGTACTGCTCTGACCACTCCCCCATCATTTTTATGTCTTCTAACTTTGAAAAACCTTCTGCGAGCTTCATGTTCAAGAATTTTTAGTCTCACATGAATAGTTTTTGGGAGATTGTTTATAATGCTTTCAATACCCCTGTCTCTAGTAGTCCTATTGCAACCTTTTTTATTCATCTGAAATACCTTAAAAGAGCTTTAAAAGTATGAAGTGGGCTTCTTCCAAAAATGTTTCTCAGGGCCTCCTTGAGCTTAAAAGCCAACAATAGATTTGTTTTCTTCAGCTCCAATCCCAACCTCTTGACCATGACCTTAACTCTGCTTTGAAGCATGTCAATAACAATTTAGCATCTTATCATACGGCTTGGTCCTTCTAGATCTCCCAGCATGCTAAAGCCTCTTGGCTCACCCATGGCGAAGATGACCTGGGGTTTCTATATGCTAGAATCAAGTTTAGAAATAATAGAAACATCATTAAAGAGATTTCCACACCGCTCGGACACTTCGTCTCTCATTCAAATATTGCCACGACTGTTATCTCCCACTTCCAGGAGATTTTTAATTCTCCTTCCCCTACTGTCAGCATCTCTATTTTGCTTCATGTGGGAAATATGGTCCCTCATTCTTTGCATAGCTCGCTGGTGGCCCCTGTTTCTTTTGAGGAAATTAAAGCCATTGTATTTGTTGGGAAATCTTCCTTTGCACCTGGACCCGATGGGTTCTCATTCGAATTCTACAAAAAGACATGCCACCTCATCGGCCTACAAGTCTTCAATGTTGTGAATAGCTTCTTCACTACTGGTTATCTTCCTAAGGGAGCTAAAGCCATGGCTATTACTTTGATTCCCAAAGGTCCACACTCCTCTTATATTGGGGATTTTAGGCCCATTTCCCTCTACAATGTTCTTTACAAAATTATTGCTAAAGTGTTGGCTAATAGACTCAAACTTATGTTGCTTCATATCATTCATCATAGCCAAGCTGGCTTCCTTTCCTCTAGATGCTCTACTGATAACATCTTCTTAGCTGCTGATATTCTTAAAGATTTTAAAGTTGGAAGGAACTTATTCTGCGCTAAATTGGATATCAGAAAGGCTTTTGACTCTCTTTCTGATGTTTATTTTTCTATTTGCCTGAACGGCTCCCATGTGGAGTTCTTTAAATCAACCTCTGGTCTTCGCCAAGGCTGCCCTATCTCCCCTTCTATTCTGTATTGCCATGGATCGTCTCTCGGGTAGCCTTCAAGCTTCTAATTTCAAAGGAATTAGTTGCAATGGGGTTGACATTACCCATCTTTTGTATGCTGATGACCTCCTCGTCTTTGGGCATGCCTCGGTTCATAATGCAACAAATCTTAAGAATGATCTTGATACTTTTGCGAGTAGCTCTCGACTTCATATTAACCCCTCTAAAAGTTCTATTATTTTTTCTCCTAATGTTGTTGTTGCCTCCCTTATTTCCTCCTTACTCGATATCCACTAAACTGATCCCTTCTTCACTTATCTGGGGCTTCCTATTTCCCCCAAGAGACTCAAGTTTTTCCACTTCCAACCCCTTATGAGCAGAGTTTCTACTCTACTTAAGGGTTGGTAAGTTAAGTTCATTTCTTTTGCAGTTCGTGTCCAATACCTTAAGTTCACTATTGCCAACACCATTGCGTATTTGATTAGAGGTTCTATCATACCTAAAGCATGTCGAAAGGCCATCTCCAAGCTTGCTCTAAATTTCTTTACCATAGGAACACTACAGCCAAGAAACTGCATCTTATTTCCTAGAGAAACACTACTAAGCCTAAATGCAATGGCGGGTTGTACTTGCCATCTTTTGACTCCCTTTACTTTGGTGTTTTTTGTTCTTGCATTTGGAGATTTTACTTTCATAATTCTCTTTTTATCTCTTGGTTTAGAGCTAAGTATGAGTCTCCCTGGAAGACTCCTCCATCTTATGCCACAAAGGCCTGGAAATTCCTTTGCTCTATTGCTCAATATATTAAAAATTCTATTCCGTTTTTGGTTGCTCCTTCCTGCAAATTTTTTATGCTTTGGGACCCATGGTGTAATGGTCGATCTTTATCAGATATTACCTCCTGGAATTACCTCTGATATAAAATTGTAGACAATTTTATCTCTAACGGCTAGTGGGTCATTCCTAAGGACACCCCTCTCATTCTTCGTGAGGCTATTTTGAAGATCAATATTCTGGAGCAACCGGCCTTGGCTCTGGACGGCTCCAAACATCCTACCTCCCAATAGTTTTCTAATTTTTATAATTCTCATTTGGATAAAGTTCAATGGTATAAGTATGTTTGGCACAAAAGAAACTCCCTCCGTTTTGCCTGCTACTCTTGGATGGCTATTCTTGAAAGATTGAAATGCGTGGATTTACTTCTCAGGAAGGGCATCCCTGTTGCTGCTGCTTGCCCTTTCTGCCATAACTCGCCTGAAACGCATCATCATCTGTTCTTCGACTGTGATTATTCCTTTTTGGTGCTTAGGGATTTGCTTCTGATTTTTAGCAAATTCTATCATTCGTTTTAGATGGTGCTTAGGGATTTGCTTCCTTAAGTTTATCATACCCTTTCCAGTTTTTAATCTTGCACTTAACAGATGATAAACTTAAGGAAGGTTTTGCTCACATTCTCCAATCTTCCCTCTGCTGTTGTGGAAGCTACAGTCAGGTGCCTTATGCTTTTGCGGATTTTGGTTTCTGTGAGCTGGACTTTGATGTTCCATGCTATTTTGTGTGCTATCTGTTTGCTCGATTTCTGGACTACTTTCTCTGGCTGGAATTTGCTATGTTGTTGGTTTCACGGATGGAAGGTTTTTGCGCTTTGTACTCTATTGGGCTTGGTGCAAGTCTTTCTCTTCCTGCGGGTTTGTTCCTTTATCCTGGAGGGCCTTCTAGGCAACCAAGAATGATGTTCCTGTTGCCTGGGGGGTTTTTTTAGGACAATGATGTTAGTTGCAGCTCCTCCTCCCCTTGGAGGGTCAGCGTGGCAACCAGGGGACTTTCGTTCTCCAGTCGATTATACTTCTCAAACTGTAGCCTGAGTCCTTCTAGCTTCTAGCTTCAATTCTACTACCACATTTTGGTATTTCATTAAATTTTGGGTTGTATTGGGTGGTATAGTTTTGATTTTTACCTTTCATCATAAGCTATTTTGGCTTTAGCTTCTGATGGTTCCTTTTCTAATTTTACTTGCAATTTTCTCTTTTCATAGTAATATATGGGCTTAGGCCCCAAAATTTCTCAAAAAAAAAAAAAGGACCTCAATCTAGAAGGACAGAAGAATCAAGGCAACGATGAAATTTTTGCCTTGTGTTAGAAAAAACAAACTCTCAGCAAGGCAAAAATGTTCAAGTTGTAAAAGTTGTGACTAATTTATACTATTGTTCTTAATGGTTCTCAAAATAGTTTCGAATATTTATAAGACAATTATTTTTCAACTGCAATGATTCTTTCCTAAGAAAATTAAAAAGCTTGCCTTTCATAAATATTTTTTGTTCAAGATGCACTCAAATTCTAAAAGTATTTTCTTCAACTTAGGGACCTTGTTAGGAATCCAAAATGTATCATAATGATTTAGGGTATAAAAACATGCTAAAGTTACCAAATTTGCAGCATACTTCAATAAGAGAGGATTCACGCTCCCATCAAATAAACCAAATGACTCAAAAACTATGGCAATTTGTTTGGAACAGATTTTGGCCATTTTTTTTCTTACTGTTTTCAAGATGTTTTTGTATTAAAAAGTTATTTTAGAAAATAGTATAAAAACTATCCGAAATAAAAATCTTCAAATACAAATACGCCTTCATGAATTTTGACAAAGTTGTTAATCAATTCCATAATAAATATTATTTTACCCACTCTATGTAATTGGCTTCTACAATAAATCAGTATTGATCTCTCCGACGCATAAATAACTGAATATACATTTTGGATCAACTCATAATGCAAATTCAAATAAGTGGTGTGATTTAAGAGTATAATTAGGCATGAGTATTCACATGGAATGAACCTTTTCTATAACAGCTTAGAGGCCTTAAAAAAAATTGACATGTTCGACCTTTTAAATAGGCAAAGAATTCAATAGCATCCTTCCATTCTACTCCCAATCCAAATGGCTTCTTAGCTCTCACAGTTAATCAAAGGGCATAACTTTACCCTCCTCTTGAGGAAGAATTATTACGTCCTCCGACCGGATGCAGAGGAACATTCGGTCGTAGGCAAAATCGCGCTTATACCGAGGTGTACCAAGTTTTTTGACACCTCGATATAGGCACGATTTTGCCTACAACTGAATGTTCCTCTGCATCCTTACACCGAACCAAATAAAAGTTCCCTTTTGAGGCTTCACTTACAACAAAACGAGCTTTTAGTTTTAAGTAAACGAAGATCCATTAAAACAACCTAAACTCGCAAACGACCCAGTACTTAACATTCTACTATAGGATACCTACCCAAAAAAATTTTCAAGTATTAACAACTAAGAATAATTTGAACATAATGCACAATTTAATCATTAACTATACTAATTAATTAATATATTGAGCTTAAAAAATAAAACAAGTCTCCACAAATTTGTATAACAATATAAATTCCTTTGAAATAATTTCTTATTTTTCATGTTCAACAAACTTTTATAATTTCTGCATGAGTATACATGCAAATAACATTACAAGGCCATAAGAGCACCATTCAAAACATGGAACCAAAGAAACCAATTGCTCTCTAGCAATTCCATTTTGCCTAAAAACATCGGCATCTATATAATTCGAGAAAAACACCAACTTTGAAAAAGAAAACAGAAGGAACAAAAGAAGATTAAACCTTCTCACTCTGGCCATTAATATTCCTAACAGGTCCCTTGAACCATTTTCTAGCATCCAAAATCCACCACAACAAAATCGTAGTTAGGCAGATTCCTAAACCAATAGGTGCATAGTTGAAAGTGTCAAACTTAATAGGATAAGATGTTGGCAATAGAAAGACCGAGCAAGTGTAACAGATCCATAAGAATGCCACTAAACATATTGGCCTGCTTGCTCTTCCCAAATAGAAAGGACCAGGATTGAAGTTCTTTTCTGCCATGACCATCCTTGCAAAGATTGGTATTGAGTAGCCGCCAACCCATCCAACGGTGCAAATGGAGGTGATTGCTGTGAAGACAACATTCACTTTGAGGATAGGAAGCCCTATAAGTATGCAGATGGCTGCACATAGCCACACTGCATTGGATGGAACTTTGTGTTTTGGATGAATTTTGCGCCATAGGGATGAGAAAGGAACTCCTTGATCCCTAGACAATGCATATACCTACAAAGCAAATAGCTAGAGATTATTTTCATTTACAGAGAGATGAATAGAATAATAACATGAATGTGATTTTGATTATTTTTTTAGAACAATGAGAACACCCTAACTGAAAGAGGCGGGCAATCCATGTCTTGATCTTTTACCCTTATTGATGAGCACATATTTTATAATTGCAAATATATATTGCAAGGTCTCATATATTCTTTAGAGTTGAATGCTGGTATAATAAGACCATTCTACAAAATAAACTACGTGGACCAAGTCTTGGGCATATGTAATGTCAAACTAGGTTTTATTTATTTATTTTTTCCTCATATGTGTAAGAAAATTGAATAAATATTGATAGCTTTGGCTAAAAAAGAATGAACACTTGCTCCTTAAGTAAAATATAATTTAACATATATACTTGTATTCCAAAATTCACATGAAGCAAATCATTTAAAAAAATAATATAAAAAGTTAAACATTAATGTTTTGAAAATCACTATTAAAATCCCTTCTGAAAATATGCATGATGCCTTCTAGTACTTAATAGGTCCCAAATAAGCCATTTGCAAGCCCATTTAAGTGCAAATGGTCAGCATCCCAAGTTGGAGTTTATGTACCTTTGTAAATAATTTCATGGGTACACAGTTTACAAGCCTTCACTATCAAATTAAATTTACTTGTATAACAGTTAAATCTTTAAATCACATTAAAAAACACTAATATTAACTTATTTAAAGTAAAATACACTTTTTAATTGACATGCTTTGATGTGATTAAGACACTAAAGTGGAATTCAAATAACTATAAAAGTTTAGATGTTAGATGTGTAAATACAAATATTTTATTGTATGCATGTAAATCCCCCAACAAAAAAATGTTGTTATGCATGGGGCCCAATAAGTACAACAATATCATTAAGTTTTATAAAGCAATGTGAAGTAAAAAAATAATATTATTATCTTGTTAACCTCTGTGTAAACCACACAAAAGAGGAAAGAAATCATGAATCCCGCATACAAACCTCGTATCCGTTGAGAAATCGCTCAAAATCTCCGCAAATCCCGTTTGAATCCCCGCAAATCCCGCTGAGATCGACGCTGTTTGAGTCGTTTCCCGGAATTCATGGGTAAGATTCGCTCAAACGTACCCAAATCGCGTCGTTAAATACCCGCTGCTCACACAAAGCTTCGGCTCTTTCTACACACGACTCTCCCTCTCAACTCCAAGCCGAAGCCATCATCTCCACTCGAGCAGCCATCGCCAAAGTCAGTCCCTCCGACACCGAACTCCAAGCCCAGGTCCAACCTCCTCTCCTCCGATATCTCCTTCGTGCTGCTCAACCTCGCTCCGGCGACGTTCTTTCCTTCCAGCCGATCAGGAGTCACGAAGTCCCGATCGAAAGCAACGATCGAAGCTCTCCGATCATGAGAGCCCCTGTGCCACCGACCTCCTCAGCCCCGATCTCTTCAAATCCAGAGAGAGAGAGAGAGAGAGAGAGCGAGAGAGAGAGAGAGAGAGCACCTCTACCTCTACCCGACGCCCCATCCACGACTCCTCCCTGCGCCAACGCCTACTTAAGCCCTAAACCGAGATCTCTCCACCTCCTTTTTCGTTGATCAGCTTTGATCCCTCGACGACATTCTCATCTAACTGGATCAGGAGTTAAGACAATTTGAACGGAAGTAAATACAGTAGTCCGTTGGCTTTGAAGGTGATTTACTCCCTATTGTGTGCTTCCTCGGCCGTTTCCCTGGAAACAGAGAATTGAACTCTCTGTTTAATTGAACAGAGGGTTTAATTCTCTGTAAATCATGCTTGAATCCTGTTTCAAAAGGAATTAACTTAAACTCCATTTAATTTCTGCATCCTGCTCAAATCCTCTTTGATTAGCTTACTTAAAGTTGATTTTATTTAATCACACTTAATTACTACTAATAGTAATTAATTATAATTAGTTAAATCAATTATAATTAGCTAATAATTATAATTTATAATTAATTTTAAATTATGTATAATTAATTATGTGTTATTTTAAGTATATATTAAATGGATCTCTTCCTCCCACCTCGATCCTCGTGCTGACATCTACAACCCCGCGCAGGTATAATCCTTCTAAACCCTAAAACTCCGAGAACTCAATTTCAACGCATGCGTCGAGACAATGGTGGACTCGGACTTGTGAACTTTAATGCAATAAATTCAAATCTAAATTGAATCCAAACTTAAATAAATTACAAGGACTTAGAATGAAATTTGAATTCAAGCTTAAATAAAGATACAAGTTGACCATTTGGAACTATACTCAAAACTTGATTTGAATATTAAGCCAACAAGGCTTGAACTTGAAGGACAGCAGGGGACTTAGAACTTGAGTTTGATGCTTGAACTCAAGCAAGGATTTGTGAAAGTGGACTCAAATGAACATGTTTTGAAAATTAAAGTAATGATTATATTGAAAATATAAAAGTGTTAACTAATAATCTTGAGGATCCAAACAAACATCAACGAATAGAACTTGGACCTGAACTTGGTCTGAGGAATGTGAAACTTTGTTTGAATGCAAAAATTTGAACTTAAATTGAGTGACATTGTTTGGGACTTGAACAAAGAACTATGAGTTTAACTTTCCTACAAGCATCAACAAATAATCATGAGCAATGACCTATGGTGAATAGAATCCCTATATCTCACTCATAAGAGCAAGTGATATGAATTTAATGAGCAAAGATAGTTACAATGGGGATATTCATAAAAGATTTACATATGAATGTAGTGAAGTCTCCATTATCAACAACAATTCAACATGCAAGCAAAGGTACAAACAAGGGTAACACACCGGCAAAGTATACAAGCTCCTACAAGTTAACATGTAAAACTCTTCATTCATACAACGATCTTATTACAAGTAGTGTTGGTGAACACATCACCAGTGTGACGAATTTTCTACATGAATGAAATAGAAGATCGTAGCAGATGTGAACTCTTACTAGCAATGATGGAAGATGTGTCATATGCATAGTAATGTACATACGTGGGTATGATGAGTAATTATCAGATAAATGCACTGAACCTCAACAAATCATAGCAATTAATGTGCAATATGAGATGTTCACAAGCAGAACACATCGTCGACAATAATTCAACATGGGTCAATTACACTGGTTCTCTAATGCAGAAGCGAACGTATAACAAATGCAAATGCCTACAAAAGTTTGTAGAAGACCCACTGTGCACACAACATGTCATCTACAAGAAGGATACAAGGAGTCTGCCACAAGTGTTAAGATACTAATACAGTCTATAATCAGGCAGTGGAAAGTAGATGCATCTGTCTCCTACAAGCGGAGGGAATTTGATATACAACAAGTGCAAGTGTCTACGGTCCATTATAGGAGGCCCGTTGTATATTCAACATATGGTTTGCGAGCAAATATAAAAGATCTACAAAACATACAATCCCTCAACGAATACAGATGCATGTATGACATGTCACTTATGGGTAGATGCAGAAAGACTTCAGTAAATGCAGTATCCTGAAGTCAGTTTCAGTCTGTAAAGGAATACATCTACCTGCCTACTTGTGGCAGTGTCGGATGCACTATATGAACCGAAGACCACAGTAAAATGCATGAAGAATGTGACAAATACAAATTCCCACGAGCTGATATAAGAAATCTATTATACACTTAATATGTCGTTTACAAGAATGATGCAAGGAAACTACAGTAGATAATAACATCTACTGGCAAAAGCAGGAGATTCGTTAGTGCACTATGATTCACTTGCATAAAAAAATAAATAGTGCATGACAGTCTACCTGTACAAAGCAGTAAATGACTCAATTTAGAAGCTGTTACGTCACGCCACCGGATCCGCAACATTCTTGCAAGCGGACAGAAGGCGTTTACAAATATTCCAAGAATACCCCGCACGTGCACCATAATTTGTATGCACATAGGTACACTAAAGGGGTAAATATAATCTCGACCCGCATGGGCCCCGGCGAGAGTGTTGTAGGAACACACATGACGTCTATGGATGCTGAGCGGGTCAATAAAATTGAATCCGATCCTCCTAAGCAGGTAGGTAGAAGTTGACAAGGTTTAGCAAATGATTACAAAATGCCCCCAAACACCCGCATGGGCCCCGGAGAGCGTGTTATTGGTACACACATGACGTCTAAGGATGCTGCGCGGGTCGATAAGTGAATTCAAGTTCGAACCCGATCCTTCTATACGGATTTAAAGGAGTCGACAGGATTCAAACCTTCAAACAAATATACGATTGTGGCGACCAATGTATTTGTTTTAATACATTCATATTAGGCCTTCAAGCCCTATAAAAATATGAATTCACTAATAAAGGCACAAAGCCTACAAAACCCGATCCCCTATCGGCAAGTCGATAGCGTCGACAATGTTTAAGACAAATATTTTCAAATGACCCCTAACAGTCCGATGATGGCCGTGTTGAATGTTTATCTCAACCGGAGGGGTTCATAGATATTTTCAAGCTCCACCTAAATATTCAAAACATCCAAAACTCCACAAAGTCCAATACCCAATAAAATCCAAAATCTTAAAATCCCAAAAATCCAAAAAAATATTTAAAATTAAAATCCAACCATTCAAGCACTTAAAGCAAAAGCCCATCCACCCTCCGTAACAGTTTGCCGAGGTGGACACATTACAATTTACTTCAGCTCACAAAGAGCCAAATGCTTAGTCGAAAATATTACTAGGATTCATTCTCAAACAAGCTCATGCCAGTAAGGACGTGGTATGTGTCCTCTAACCGGCGGTTTTGCCACCAAATGGCACCGCAGGATAAATGGTTATGACCCGGGGCCCTCTGAACCGAGTGATTTTGCGGCCAAATGGCACTACGAAATACCGCTTATGGCCAGAGCCAATACGCTCTTTAGTGGTATCAAATCCTTGAGATACGAATCAATAGGATATGATTGCGGCCAAATGGCACCACGAAATACCGCAACAGTTAGCTAAGGTGAA